TATTCAAAGTATGTATGGATCCATCATGGTAAGAAAATCTTTTCTTTTCGAAGGAATATATTGGTAGGTGTACGTGTGCGCCGTATATAGGATCAATAACGTTTGGAATGTCATAAAGGCTAATTACTTGATTATGACTAGGAATACACTCTTCGTCCTAAATTAATTCTCCTAATTTGACTATATTCAGACCTTAAAAAATAAAATTATGTAGTTGAAATTAATTTAGATGAAAGGAAAAAATGAGTCACAAAAAGCTTTTCAAAATAAGAAACTTGAAGTAAATTTGGGACACTCAAAAAGAAAATAAGGAGAATTAGTTTTGGAGGAAGAGAATATATTTTACTTTTCCGTACCGGAATAAATTACGATCTTTTTTTATATTTTTCGATAGCTTTTGTTTATTTGTGTGCTTTCATTGAATATTTGAAAAAATAAAATATTTTTGTCATATCTCGTTTTGTAGAACTTTCGAAGAAATTTTTTAATATGTAATTTTTATTTTTTATTGACATACCAATTTGTAAATAAAATAATTTCAAAAGAACAAAGAATTGCATAAAAATCACACATTTGGAAGGAGCTTAGAACAAGATTGGGATGGGAGCATAGGGGGGCTAAGGTGGGGTTAGGGGTTTTTAGGTAGTGGGTTAAAGGGTAGCAATCAATAATTTTCTGATTAGAGGACTGAAAAACGCAATGACATCGCTAATGTCGCCGTTGACGAGTGTCAAGGAAACCCTCTCATGTGAATTATGGAATACTCCATCTGTCCCAGAGTATTTGTCCACTTTCATTTATACACACCATCCAGTGCAACTTTTAATACATTTTATATTGTAATTTGTATATTAAAAAATTATAGAAATTATATATTAATAATGGTATGGTTTAAGACGAATATAATCAAACAAGATTACACATGCCTATATTTAGATTTACATATTGAGAGAATTTGATGAGTCAAAGTGTTTAGATGAACAATTTCAAAAATCAAAAGTGAACGAATACTCCGATATAGTATTAACTTACCGATGTTCAACGAAAACTCCGTGTTATTTCAAAACCACTGGGCTATGGGCCTAATAAAATTATTGTTTTTTGTTCAATTTTGACTCTGTATCACGAAAACATAAAATTTATTATGTTGACAAATATTTTTGGGCTCCATCAAGAGGAAGGATTAAGTATTATTTTTATCATATATAAATAAATTTGAGCAAAGTAATTTTATTTTATTTTCTTTGTTAGAGCATAAAAAAATTTCTAAACCTCCAACTAATTGTTTAAATTGAACTTTTGCTGAATTCGATCGATTACAAAAATCCCATTATGGTCCGTAACTAATTAAAACAATAATTAGACTTGATTTCTCTGTTTATTTTTTAACCAAAAAAATCAAATTAAATTAAAAAAATCCGATCAAATATTAATAAGTCCAAAACAAAATTAATCACATTTGACGAAAACATGCTAAAATAATTTATATTCTCTTCATCCTAAAATAATTTATTTCTTTACCGTTATGCTCTCTTGATAAATTATGTTTGTTTGGATGTTTACATTAACTGTTTGATAAAATAAAATATTCTTGTTACATTTTATTTTATAAAATATTTTAAGTAACTTTTGAATATGTAAATTTTATTCTTTATTTCCGTGCCAATTTAGTAGTAAAATCATTTTTAAAATTACAAAATTTTAGATGTAATTTAAAAGTTTAATTTATTTTGGAACAAACAAACTAGCATGTATGATGGTCTCAATAAAGATTGTGTTAATGGCATCAAAATTGCAATGACATCAACTTGGCATTACGCAAAATCTCTCGATTAGACACACTTAAGATTCACATACATATCATCCACTTCAAATATACTACTCCTTTCATCTTAAAATTATTGTTCTAATTTGACTTGTGTAACTATTAAATACTCCAGTATAAATTAAACAAAATTTTAAATAAATAAATACTACTACGTATAAAATGAAAATCCATGTTCGTGATACTACAAAAGAGTTTGCTTTCAAACTATACTATTCTTAGAGATTATCTTTTTAAAAAAAAATATGAAATGATGCATAAAAAGTTTAATTAAAGAGATTGATATGTTTATTGAAAGAATCAAATATTGATTGGATATATTTGGATACATATGCGTAATAAAGATCTGGTAGATCGAATATAATAATTTAAAATACTACTCCGTATGTAATAATAATATTAATAATAATAATAATATTACTAATAATAGTAGTAATAATAATTGAGGCCAACCAATCACTTGTTTTGGGAAAGGGGTTAACAGCTCTACTACACTATTAATAAACAAAAAAGATTCGAGTTTCAAACAATTGGTTGATCCACTAATAATCTGTTTTACAAGAACTCGCAAGTGGCATAGTTGTCATTTTTATAAATTGTTGATTTTTTTGTTTTTTGTTTCTTCTTCAATTGTAATAGTTCATGTACCAAACAAAATTGTCTTATTCGAAGTTGATAGATTATGCTCCCTCTTCTTAAAACTCTCTCTACTTTGCCCTTTTTTAATTAAAGAACAATATTCTTTAATTTGATCATATATAACTTAAGTATGTTTAAATTAATAAATGTTATAAAAGTTTCATATATAAAAGCTTTATCCTAAGATGAACTTAATTATATTAAGTTTATATTATACGGAGTAATTTAATATATTTTTCTCACAATTTGAAGTACAAAAGTATTATTGCGTGATAAAAATATCAAAATAAGAAAAATATTCAAGGACAGAGATATTATTACACTGAAACATTGACTTGACAAACTCAATATTATTGTCACTGCACTAGTAATGAAAATTAATAAATTAATCATGCACGAAAATGTTTAGTAAATAAGTATGTAGAGAAAGTATTTTTTTCGCGGAGAATGTGCAAAATGGACTCCCCTCTCTTTCACACTTTGCATTTTATGGGATGAATAATAATTGAATGGGGACCAAAATATATTTTCAGGTCCCACAAATATTAATAAAATCAATATTAGGTGGGAGACATTAACATTCATTTGGGTCTCATGAGTATTATTAACTACATCCCTCGTATGATATTTGTGTAGTTTGATTTTTTTTAAATTAAAAATAAATAAATTTTGAGTATCAATTATTCTAAATGTATATTGCATATTATTTCGTAACATAATGCATCAAAATTTATAAATTTTCATAGAGATAAATCTAATAACTCGTAATCATACCAATATACATTATAGTTTTCGTTTAAATGAAACCCAAATTAAATTTATCCAATTTGACTTGAAGAAGTCAAATATGGCAAATACACTTAAACGGAAGAAAAAAAGGATGAACTCCCATGTGCAAGGACTCCTCAGTACACGCCGGAAAATTAGCTCTCTTGAATATAATATAAACTCTCTTCAAATCATTTTTCTATGTCAAATATCTAAAATCATGTCCATGAATAACCCACTTAATAATTTAGATCTAAGTGAACTGGGTTTCAATGCAGACATTGCATAGACAAATTTGTGAGAAAATAATAATGGTAGGAGTTATAAGCAAAAAACACAAATGAAAAGCCAAGATTTCATCAATGGTCATCAACAAACATCATTCCACCATCATATTGATCACAAAACTAACCTATAATGAACTAAAAACCAAAAGCCAACAAGCAAATAGTACTGACCTGGATGAGATCTCATTATTTTCTTCGTGTTTGTTGTTCACGCGCTAATTAGAAAACTAAAACGATAATACTTTAAGTTATTTAGAAAAGTAACTACAAAAATGAAACCCAAAAGGTTGGCAAAATAAGACTCCAATTTAATGAGTTTCTATCTTAGCTTGAATGGCAGAAAGATCAATACCAAGAATTGAGTATGGGAAACCGGAAACCTATCCAAGATCAAATTACAGCAAAAATGCTAACTCTTTCACTAAGTTAAAAATAACTCCCTCTATCCCAATTTAAATTTACTGTTTCGAGTTATAATGTTTGGCTGAATTTATTTTCAAATCATTTTATATGAAAACGATGTAGAATTTAAAAAAATAAAAGTTACGGAGTACATAATTAAAAATTACATCAAAACATCTATAAAACTAGTAGTGACATCACTATATTATTTTATCAAATGACTAACGTAAATAGAAAAAAGTGAATAAAATTTAATTCTATGATAATAAACAAGCAATTTAATTTGAGACGAATGAAGTATGTATTAATAGAACTACATTATAATGGAATTAATAGTACTCCGTATAAAAAAGACTCCACTTTAAGAAATGCTAAAATATCTTCTTAAATACGGAGTAAGAGTACAAGAGGAGGTAACATTTACGCCATGTTTGGTTCAAGAAATTTGAAAGGAAAAAGGAAAAAAATGAAATAGAAAACAGTTTTTCATGTTTGGTTGGAAAGGAAAAGTGGAAACAAAAGAAAACGAGAAGACAAATGTACTAAGTGAAGGAAAAACCAAATTCCTCTCATTTTGGTGAGAAAAATGAGAGAAAATTATTATTTTTTCTTTTTCTTCCAAAATTCTTGAACCAAACATAGTGTTAATTAATTAAGAAAAGGAAAAATAATAAACACTAGGATGACTTCTTAACTAATTGCCATTGAAATCCCTAGACAATCCATTCAAAACAGTATGATGACATTTTGGCTGGTATAATTACAGATATGCCCTTGTTCTGCTCAAATCTCACTGATCTGGTTCTGCTTCCACTTCACACACACACGCACGCACACATGCACACATGCACACACGCACGCACACATGCACACATGCACACACGCACACACACACACACACGCACACACACACACACACACAATTTTTAAGAAATTAAACACTAATAATATTAACTTAACACTAATAATATTAACTTAGCACACACTTCGTTTATTGTATTACTCCGTATTATTATTATAATTATTATAATTATTACAGAATGTTGAGATGGTTGGGAAGGTTGAACTTGAGTTCAACCATACAATCATCCAGCAAGTCGTCCGGTCCCATTCATGAACCACGATTCACGAATGTACGTAGCCGGTTGGTTATATGTGCCCTACAACTCCACTAGTTCCAATTGAATGTGTGTGCCCATTCTCTTATAACTCCAAAACCAGGTTCCACAATCCATTGATGTCTTTGCAATGGCATTAAGTTCAACTTCTAAACCTGAACCAATTTTTCATGATTACCAAATTATATAGTTTCAGCCACGCTATTTACTAGTGATGAACCATATTTTTATTTTTTTTCCTAAAAAGGATGTCAAAAATTAGAACTTTCTCTCACAATATATGTGAATCTTGTGTTTATACCTGAATTTCCAGATGTGATCTTCATTTTGTAGCCATCTGGGACATCAAATACATGGTTGCCCTGCATAAGAAAGCACAACATAAGGCATCAGATTTTGACTCTCCCAAACTAGAGCTAAGTAGAAAGTTTAAGTGTTAGCGTATAAATCCTTTCCCGAGCCCTAAACCACAATATTGAGCTTTTGATTGAGTTGGTTCTTTTACATGGCATCAAATACATGTTGACCAAAAAGTCACAAGTTTGAACCTCACCACCACCCAATTTTGTAGTTTTTAAACAATTAATATTGACGTTTAAGGTTTGAGCAAAAACAAATCTTACATGCACATGAGGAGACATGTTAGAGTATGCATCCTTTTCTGATTCCCATAAGCTTGAGCTTTAAAGGGAAGTTGACGGACTTGACGCCATCAAATTAAATTAGGAAAAAAGAACATCCATAATACCCATAATAACCTTCCCTCTATTTCAAGTCAATTTCACCTGTAGAATAACATCCACTGCTTCAAACTCTGCATTTCCATGCAGTATGATCTTCACAGCCTCAAATCGTTGCACATCGTGCTTCCAGTACAAGTTGTCTCTTGAATTCCAATCAATGCCATCATTAAGAACCTTGACATTCTTGAGCTTGCATCTGCTACACCTGCCAAAAAATATCTTCTGAGTGTTTTTGAATGGAGACATGTGGATGGGTTAGTCTATATCTTGATACTCCATCCTCATAATTCTCACTTTCTTTTTACAGGTGTACAAAAATTAAGTTCTTATTTCTATAAAAGACAGTTTTAAAGAATAAAATAGTATGAGCAAAGTTGGAAAGTCAATGGCAAAAAGTGTAGCCTAAATATGTGTGGTATTCAAACTGGGAACTTAATTGCATGAGAGAGGGATTATATATTTTAATTTTTAAGTATGAAAGATTAACTTAAATGGCCTTATACAAAAAAAACATAATCTGTAACTTGCAACACTTCAATGGCCTTATATACGGTCTTTAGACACATTTCATTTATCATGATATGGACTAAATCTCCATAGCCCTGTCTCCACGCGCCCTTCTAATCACAACTACCATGTTCATGGGTTGTAGGATACCTCCTTCCATATTGTAGTAAAGCTTCACCATTTGCATCTATGGTAGTTGAACCCATAACATTCTCGGCCAAAATAATCAAACTTCCATTGAGCTGAAAAGTGAAAGAGATTAGCCACAAGACATTCACAAGCATGCAGAGTCACTGAACTAGTTTCTGACCTGGACATCTTTCCAATAAAACTCAGAAACCTCTATCTGTAACTCTGAACCTTCAGAAATGGAACCCCCGTGAAACTGATAAATAAAGTGAAAATGCAATTAAAGGAAGGAGGTTATTAGACAAGACTTAAGACTTTTTGTCCTTACTGAGGATATGAACTTAGATAAGAGCATTTGGAGAGCTAAGATTAGAGTAGTAGGGTACTTGGGTAGGCACATTGGGTTAGGTGGTAGTTTTCTGGACTGGTTGTGTGCTTTGTATGCCTTATAAGCTTGGTGCTCTCTGTTTGGAGTACTTTTTGTTAACATAGTTTTTCCTTTGCCTTTGTGTGCTTTGGGTTTTATCTATGCTTTCTCTGCTTTTCATGCAACTTATGAGATCTTCTATGACTATTATAATCTTTTATTATTTTTGTCTGCATACACACACCCTCCCAGACTCTTGTGGGATCCAATTGGGTTGTTGTTGTAATAATGAAAGCACAAGAAAAAAACGTGAAGAGTTGGCCATATTTAGTAGAGGTCATCGACTCATACATAGTATTGTGACTTACTTTTTGTCTAATAACTTCCCAAAGAGGCCCCAAAGCAGGATGAAGAAGGATAAGAAATGGTGGTCCAGAATCCACGTACTTATCATCACCTTCAATCTATACACAGCAACACAAGATAATAAACTTGTGTTCCAAGAAAAAAGCAATAAAATGAAGGGGACATACTGCAATATAACAAATGAGTTATGAAAAACTGAAGCAAATACAATTTGAATACATTCGGCACTGAAATTCTAGATATACCTGTGGAATGCTTATCCCACATTGGGAGAAAATATCATAGGCATTGCGCATCATATCCAGAAGTGCACCATCTGGAGTCTGCAGTAAACACTTTTCCTGTTAAGCGTCTATTGGAAGAATTGAGTTATCAGAATGCGGGAATCTAAAAGTGACCACAAATAATAAATAATACACCATCCATCCCATAAAATTCTTTACACTCTTCTATTCCAGAAGTACCAAATAAAACTTTGCACTTTAATTCCTCTTTCAGTACTGAGTAATGAATATGTGACTCGCTTTACTTCTATCTCATCTGAACAAATTCTACCCATACACTTTACTTTTCAACACTTCTTCAACTCTGAGAAAAATAAACTGTTAAGAAATTAATTTTATGGGATGGAGGGAGTACTACAAAAAGAGTTTCAACACCAAGGTATAATTACAACATCAAAGCTAATTGATTGAGCACAAAGTAAGAAATTGATCTAGCTCCAAATATTGTCATATACTCCTTTTATCCCTTTTTTTCTCCATACTTTTAATTTTTAAATGTCCCTAATTAATCTTCTCGCTCCCTTTTAAAGAAAGAATTGTTTGGTTCTCTCTCCTCTTTACAAATTTCAACATGATAATTTCACCTCTAAAATTTTGTGTAGAAAACAAGTAAGAAATTAAATGGGGACAGAGAGAGTGATTGTCAATCATCAGCCAAAGATAAAGATTGTCCACTTGAAAGGTAAATCAAGAAAAGAGGCATGTGGAGCTTCAAAGAAAGACAAGTTCCAAACTAAGGTCTCGTTATGAAAGCTAAATAAAAACGCGACTCTTAAAACCTAACCTCAAGTGGTTTTCTGTTTTTTGTTGAACTTTTTAGAAATTAACAATATTAGTTTTAAGTATGACTATTTTTTTTAAATTCATCATACAACTTCTGGACTTAATCTGCAAGACTTGCTTTCTACTCTCTACTATAATCTTGCATCTCAAGCCTTAAGTCTATAGTGTGGAGTTTGGAGTCTTAAGCTTGAAAAACAAGAATATGCACATATTAATGGATGCATATCACATTAAAAAGAGGTGGGATACATTGATATATTTTTAATGTAGAGATTGGAGTCTTAGATTTGGAAGGTGTAATCTAGTAGTGGAGAACCATTTCCATGGCCCGTGATAATCTCAATGTCTGGCAGAAGCACGAGTATCAAGATATAGAGAGACAGCTATGTTTAAATTATAAAAAACAAACCTGGCGTAGAGACTTGGCAGCATGTGTCCTTTTCTTCTTAGCGGATGATGTAACCTTCTTTCTTTCATTATATACCATAAAAGTATCCAGTCTATCTGCCAAGTGGACAAAGTAGTACGCGTCAATTTTACATCCAAACGTTGAATAACATTTTATCAGAATTTTCACTATTCTTACCTTCTACACTTTCATAACATCGCGATGGACATACAGTGGTGAAATTATCAGCAATGTTTTGCATTGTGTGCTCCAGGCGACCGCCAGGGACACTAGAGCAATTTAATGTCAAAGAAAAAATATTATTATGACTTCATACTTTTATAGTAACAACTTGGATGACAAAAGCATGAAAAGTGTATGTGTACGCATAAATATAAAATAGCAACAGAACAGTCCAATGAGAAGCTAAATTAGTATTGCAGGTAATCTAATGACAAAGGACTCATTCTTAGAGACTTGATTTTTCTAGAGTTTGGAGTATTAGGTCTGCTAGAAGAATTAAGTCCTAGAGAACATGGCTCAATAAAGATAATGGAGCGACATATATACTTTCAAAGCACAAAGAAAATTATTGTGACGTGAATATTTAATTGTAAAGTAATAAGTTCTGTGCATAAAACTACAGTGATGAATTTATCCAACCAAACTGATGTCAAAAGAACCATGAAAATCAGAATAAGTACCTATGACTAATTCCGAACTGATCCTTGTAAGTTACTGGTTTCTTCATATTGAGAACCATCCCTGGCAAACATTTCTCATCTTTACATGATCCAACAACCTCGGCAGATGGTAAATCAACATACATAATATTTGTATTAGCAGGAAACTCGGCCTGCAAACTTAACAGAAGGAAAAATATAAAAATTCAAGGCATTCCTAAACCTTCAGCAAAGCAAGGTTAAAAATGGGAGAAAGGAATACCTATTAGATGGAAGAGGCTCGTCCTCGATTCCAAACTTGTCAAACTCGGTATATTCGATACAAGATAGGCCATATATCCAATTACCATTGAGGCTCTTCCTCTCAATTAAAACATTTATTCCTTCAGTGGCTCCAGTACTTTGCTTACAGGATGCAAAGCCCAATTTCTAAAACAATAACCAACAAACAAACCCAGTACAATCCCACATAATTAGGGTCTGAGGAGTCTGCATATAGACAGACCTTACCCCTACTAGGAAATTTCTGAAAAAAAGTTATTTATTAATTCATTCCAGAAACTGATGACATAGTCTTATAACATCTTCTATGCCCTAAACCAACAATTAACTGTCAAGCCAATGGGCAACAAAATTCCATATTTCTNCCCCCCCCCCCCCCCCGTGGGTGAGTTTTTACTTGAGTTTGCTTAAAGTTTCCATTTGAGGCTCCAAGAATTAAATTCAGACATCAAACTATCCTGGCAGTCACTGCCACCCTATAAACCCCAATGGAGTACCTTGAAATAAATGCTGAAGATTTTATATCTTACCTTTGCACTGTGCAAACCAATTCCTGCCAATGCCAAAAGCGTCAAATCTGTAGCCGCCACAACATTACTGGAAATTCATCAAAACCAACATCTAAGTCTCATTGCAAACAGTTTCACCATTCAAGACAGTTAAACTCGTAAAAGATATAAGATGAAGGTAACCTGACTTGTCGGACAGTTGCCCCTTTCCTTCCATGATCGCGAAACCACTGGAACACACCTTTGTCGTAAGCAAGTTTCCATATCACACCATGACCGCCAGGCTTGCATACTGGCATAAAAGATCTAGAAGCTAGCCACTTCCCATCTTTGGCACTAACAGCTGGAACAAGAGGCTAGAAATTGATATGGAGTATATTATATTACTAGTTGCACAATCACATTTTGTAAGAAGAAAAACAAAAAATCCAAAAAAAATCTCAAAACCTGTTCAAAAAGTATAAAATTAGACCTCCCTCTTCCAAACCAGCTATGGCTTTCACACAGGCGCAGAATACGTTCATGATTGTTCTTGGCAGAACTTGTCATTATTGCGACAGGAATGATGCACTCATTTCCGTACACCTTATAATACAGGAACTCTCTGGCCTTGCATTAGTTAAAGGATGACATCATTTTAGTAAATAATTGTGGTTTTCAGTTAAAATCAGTGCCATTATATGTTTCCAAGTTTTACCAGGAATGGTTTCCCTCACCTGAAGATCTCTAATTAGGCCTTCCAAAAGTGTACGTCCACAGAAAGGAAGCATTGCAGCAGGGAGACATTCACCTGTATCAGGGTCAACCAAGCCAAGCCGGTCTCCTGAGCCTCCAAGAGGGTAAATTTCTCCCAAGACAGGCAAAGCCTGAATAGATTAATGCGGAGTAATACAAACTTCATTTATAATTAAAAACAAACAAACATGAATTAGTTTATTCCATTAACTAACCTCTAATCCCCAAAGAGCTGCTTGAGATGCATATTCTACATCTTGAGAAAGATCGAGTGCACGAGGAGGATGAATTTCTAAACTCTCGCATTTCAATGACTGACACGTGTGGGTGGACCAACCGCTGGTTTGTCTTTCAAAAGTGGACTGAACAAGAAGATCAAGGACCATTATCTGATATCTGCAATCCATAATTCAATATGTCGTTTCAGCTTATAATCTGCATATCCCTAGAAAATTACTGCATATGATTAGCTTGTGAAACATGTAGAATTCTGTGGCAGTTCATCAAAAAAAATCAAAACCGAAAATGAAATGGTGGATGCAAACTTTCTAATTGCAAAATGAAGGTTGGAACATGCTTTACATGCTACTGGCCATTTGTTCAAAAAAAAAAAACCCTTGTAATAAACAGGAAACTGACTGCTTATATTAGTGGCTGGTAATGAAAAATCAGAAAATATACAGGATCCAACTGGATATGCCTATGAATATCAGTATAGCACTGAATATCAAATCATTTATCTTCGTTTACTTAAATAATTTAATATGCTTATATTTAAATAACGTATTCCGATTCCAGTCCACCCTATTGCAATTTCCATTTTGGCAATTACATGCTTAGCAAATGAACTTGTTCAAAACATATGGGATATCCCAATGCAGATGATAGAATTATATATAGTGAACAATGAAACTGGTACATACATATAAAATTTAGACTGAAGTGAGCAAAGGATAGAGTTAAATATAGTGATGAAACTGCAATCGCTAGTAGAAGAAGACCTACCCGATAATTCCCCCAATGCAGTCATAAAATTGTTCAATCTCACCAAGAGACTTGAGCAACAACCTCAATGCCTTAACCTCTTCTTCTGCAAGTCCAAATCCCACCCTACCATGGAGGCGGTCACAATCATTAGCTCCACTAGTTTCCCATTTCTCAATCATATCGGCCAGAGCATATAGAGCCGTCTTGAGAGAACTCCGTTTGGAGACAAACTCGCCGCCCAATTCCCCCAACACATGCTCCTGCCCAGCAGCCACTAAACACTTGAGCAAAAACAATTCGTATTTGTCCAAATTCAGCTCGCCCATTAGCCTGCCAAACCCAGCATTGAAGAACGATCGCACCCTAGAATCCGAGTCAAGAGTTCTCAGCTTATCTTCCAAATTCGAGCAATTGCGAAGCTTGGACTTCAACCCCTTCAGTTTGGGGATTTCCTTGCGGAAATCGAAGTTCGGAGATGGAGGGACGTACTCTGCCGGAGCAATTGACACCCGCAGAGCGGGAATAAGCCGAGGCCGCAGCGGATACGATTGGACAGAAGATTTCCCCGGCGAGGAGAAGACAGTGGAGGAGCTCAGGCGGCGAGCAGCGCAATTGAAGGAGCTCAACGAGTTGAGGAAGAAAGGGGCATTGGAAGAGACTGCTGAAAGGGATGAGTTAGGGTTGGAGACGAAGATATTGCTGCTTTGAGGGGGCATTGGAAGTGCGGGGGCCATTGGAGAGAAAAACAGGAGCACTGTTTCTCTTCTCTATTTCCTCTGACGATTGGAGCGGTTGGGGACGACGGAGGAGGAAGGTGGCCGGCGAAGTGTCTTCAGGAAAGCGGCGGAGATGCCAGAATTGGGCGGTGGGGAAGGCACAGTACTTAAATGGTGGGAAACGTTTATCTACTGGCCTTCATTTTGGCCTCCGCTTTCCTCAACCGTTGGAAATTGGAACACACCCCAACGGATATACTCGGAATCTAGTCTAAGACTATTCGTACATGGGAATATCCAATCTACTGAGTATTAAATACCCCTCCCTCCATAAATAAATTTTTCGTTTACTATTCATATGGTCAAACTTTATTCACTCTGTTCGTCTATTTTTTTTACCCATTTGATAAAATAATATAGTTATGTCAACTCTAGTTTTGTAGATCTTTTGATGTAGTTTTTTAATATGTAATTTTTATTTTTAAATTTTATACCATTTTTCATATAAAATGATTTGAAAATAACTTCAGTCAAACATCGTAAAGCGCAATTAGAAGTTTATTTGTGGACGGATGAGTAAAATTAACATTAAATGTAAGAGTCAACTCTTAAAATGATCCTTTAAAAAAAGTGTTTTTAAATTAATCCTCAAGATCATTACCAAAATGGTCTTTTGTAATTGAAATATGTTCCCTAAATAATTTTCTATAAAAAATCTCTATTAAATGACAATTAAACAGATCATATTTTTCATCATCTAAACTATGAATAAATCATCAAAACGTTTCTTTCAAATTAAGTGAGTGGATGCTAGAAAAATGGGTCCACCTCGAGTCGGTTCATGGAGTCCATTTAAAAAAATACTTACTTAGAAATTATCATTTTCAAAAAACACTTAATTGTAAAGAAGTATTTCAAGAACATACTTTAAGTCTAGATAATAGAAAATACTAAAATATATTCTATTTAACTGGCATTGAGAGATGACTATTTAGGAATAAATCTAAATTATAAAGGATCGCACAAGTAATTATTGTTTATTGAGGATTAGTTTGAGAAAAACATATCAATAAAAAGGACTTTTTTGAGAAAATTTGCTAAAAATGTATAATAATATAAATATAATTTTATTATATTTGTCTTCTAAAGAGTTTTTAAAAAATTTATTTTATTATATCAATATTCAATACAAATTTTTAATGATTGTTCATTAAGATTCGTCAAACTAAATGAATTCACTGGAACGGATTGAATCGATCAATTGGGTCTAGTTCGACGGATTGAATCGATCAATTGGGTCTAGTTCGTGGTAATATTTTCCCTAGCTAAACTATGAGTGAAAGGGTGCTTCCATTTTTCAACTTACATACTTCCTCAGTTTGAAAAAGAATGTTAGGCCACATTAAACAAAACGATGTAAAGTTTTTAGTTTTTCAAAATTTTTTTATTAAAAAATTGATATAAAAATGAATAAAATAATTATATGTTTAAAAACCACAACAAAATTTCTGGAGAACAAGATTCCAAAAAAATAATTTATTTGATCAAATTATAAATGAAAATACATAAATAAAAAAATTTCTCTAATTTTTAAAAAGTAAGGTGTGGTATCCTTTTTTGAATTTGAAAAAAATGCTTAAAGAGACTAAAAGGAACATTAACTAAGAAGTCTAAGGCTCTGTTCCGTTCAACTTATTTTTTCTGATCTGATCTGATTTTAATAAGTTCTGATCTGATCTGATCTGAGTGGATCTGATCTGATCAGATTTGATTAGATCTGATCTGATTGGATCTGATCTGATCTTGTCTGTTCTGATCTGATATGGTCTGTTCTGATCTGATTAATTATGATTTAATTTAAAATTTCAAATCAATAATTTGATTTGACTTTATGATAACGTTTGAAAATTGTAATGATAATTCATATTATAATATAATCAATATTTTTTATTTAATGATTATTTTTTAATAAAATAAAAATAGTTTATTCATATATTAGAACAATCATTCATATTATAATGTAATAATATTTTTTATTTTATGATTATTATTTCGTGAAATTAGAATATTAATTTAATATTTTAATAATTACTTCATATATACATTAGAATAAATATTTAATTTAGATATACATGAAAAAGTAATTAAATTTAGATAATCAATATATAGAAGAGATGGTATTTTTATTAAAATATCTCATCCTTATAAAAGATCAAAACTTTAGAAACTCAAATTACAAGTAAAAATAAAAATATATTTTAAAAGTAGGATTAGATTGACATTGTCAATGTATTTTAAAACTAATTTTTCCGACGTCTAATAATTAAGGATTACATTCTCAGTTTTCTATTTAACCTATTTCTAAAGTTTATTCTTTTTCATTTTTAAGAAGAAGAAGAATAATAATAATAATAATAATAATAATAATAATAATAATTTTTGATGGGATCTGATTTTAATAAGTCCTAATCTGATCTGATCTGATTGGATCTGATCTGATTCGATCTGACTTGATCTGATCTGATTCGACCTGATCTCATCTGATCTGGTCTGATCTGATCTAATTTTAATAAGAATAAGAAAAATAAGAAAAAATAAGTTGAACGGAAGGGGGCCTAAGTCCAATTATGCAAGGTTTATGAGGTCAAAACCATAGTTTTAAAAACCGGACCGGACCGGCCGGTTCGGACCGTGAACCGACGAACCGGTGGTCCAACCGGTCCGGTCCGGCCCATTGGACCGTAATCTGCATCAAACCGGCCCGAACCGGTTTAAACCGGTAAGAACCGGCCGGTCGGACCGGTCCGCCCTTTTTTTTTTTGCTGATTTTTTTCAAAACATGTATCCATAGGGGTTTGAACCCAAGACCTTTTATATGTTTGGTTGAATTTCTAACCATCCAACCAATAATGCTTTTTGTTACAAGTTCACATAATCTTTTATAATATTTCATAATTACAAAAAAGATTGTATATAAATTCTTTTTCAAATTTATAAATATAATATTATATAGCTATGAGTCAAACACAAAATCATTGATACGGAGTATTATTGATACTATTACAAAATGCAAATCATGCAAAGATTTTGTTTTTTTAATATTAAACAACTTATTTGAAAAAAATAAAATCAACATTTAAAATTCTTTTATATTTTTTTAATATGTAAATTTTATTTTTTAATTTTATAAAATAACACAAGTATATTAATATAATATTATTTAAATGTTATAAATTACTTTCTTTAGATATTTATAAATGAGAATGTGTGTGTGTCTATATGTATGTATGTATGTGTGTGTAAATATATATACATATACATGTTCACACACACACACTCACACACACACATATATATATATATATATTTATTTATTTATATAATTTTTAAATATGTTTAAACCACCAGTTCGACCAGTTGAACCACTGGTTCGACCAGTAAACCAGTGAACCAGTACCTTGATCGGTTCGATCACCGCTCCGGTTCTAAAAAATATGGTCAAAACTAAACAAAAGCCCAAACGATGGAGTGTGTTTAAGTCCGCCGAAGAAACAGATGATAGCCCAAAATTTAAGGTATCCTTATCCTGATTATAACAATCGAGGAGAATTGACATTTTAGGTGTCATTTGGGCTTGCGAGTGGCCGGCTTTGTCTTGGGTCAGCGTCTTGTCCATTTAGGTGTGGAACGCCCACTTCTAGCACCCCTACACCCTGCCCGATAGGATTGTGAGAAGATAAATCATGGTATAATCCATAGTTTTGAGAACCGGACCGGGGACCGAACCGGTCAAGGTACTGGTTCACTGGTCGAACCAGTGGTTCAACTGGTCGAACCGGTGGTTTAAACATATTTAAAAATTATATAAATATAAATATAAATATAAATATAAATATAAATATAAATATAAATATAAATATAAATATATATATATATAAATATATATATACACACACACACACATTCTCATATATAAATACATAAAGAAAGTAATTTATAATATTGGACTAAAATTATATTAACATAGTTGAGTTATTTTACTAAATTAAAAGATGAAATTTACATGTTAAAAATAATATTAAAATTTTATTAAAAATATATCAATGATTTTGTGTTTGACTCATAACATATAATACTACGTATTATATTTTTAAAATTGAAGAGTAATTTTTATACAATCTTTTTATTAATTATGAAATATTAAAAAAATTATATGAATTTGAAACAACAAACACCGTTAGTTTGATGGTTAGGAACTTAACCAAACAGCTAGGAGGTCTTGGGTTCAAACCTCCATGGAGTGAACTTTTGGGAAAAAATTGTAAAAAAAAAAAAAAAAAAAACTGGTCGAACCGGTCCGATCGGCCGGTTCTTACCGGTTCACACCTGTTCGGACCGGTTCGAAGCGCATTACGGTCCAATGGGCCGGACCGGACCGGTTGGACCACCGGTTCGCCGGTTCACGGTCCGAACCGGCCGGTCCGGTCCGGTTTTTAAAACTATGGTATAATCTCAATCTGGTTTTTAGATAGGTAGTCATGTGTCCAGTGTGCATAACGAGCTATTACAAATAATAAAACTCTCACATTTGAGCTACACATGCGGGTACTTCTCATCCATTTAGGAATTAAAGCATGGAAGTTATGGTTGTATGGTTTAGTTATGACCCGATCCAACATGGTGGGTTGGATCAGATCGATTACATGAGTTGGTTACATTAAGCCCTAGGGTCTGCACACCAAATATTAAGTCTTTCTAGTCTTTAAATTAAAAGATTACATACCGAGTATTGTAAATGCTCTCTAACTCTTGTCACATTATCACAATTATCTATCAATCTCAATATTAATGATCATCGTAGTTTTAAATTCCCCGTCACCTCATTCAATATATATCCATGACAATGCCTCTATTGATATCCATCTATATATCGTCGAAATATTGTCGCACATTAAAATTCACGTTTACTCATCAAAATTACTCTGACTGTAATTATAAATACATATTCACTATTTTTCTAATTTTATATTAATATAAATAAATAATACGGAGTAAGTAAAAAAGAATAACTCGAGAAGAACGGTCTTATAAACTACTCCCTCCGTCCCATAAAGTGTTACCCATTTTGACTAAAGTTGAAATGAAGGGAGGGATAATTTTGTGTTGACTTTCCAAAAATACCCTTGATGTGATGGATAAAAGTAGGATGTGATGTGTAGATTATTAGGAAAAAGGTATGATGTGATAGGTAGGATTTGAAAAAGTAAGGGGTAAAAGTGGTTTTTTAATAGAAATGGGTAAGGGATTGTGGGATACAATTTTTTTGAAACGTGTAAATCTTTTTGGGACGGAGGGAGTAGTATATATATATATATGAGAGATTTATTTAAATAACACTTAAAGATATTGACATTTTCTAAATAGCACTATATGTGTTTTTTCTAATGTAACACGTTTAGTTATTTTCCATTAGTCATTACTCAGGCAAATGTTTGTCATCACTGGACATTATTTCTCCTTCTGAATATTATTAAGTACTCCCTCCGTCCCATAAATTGTTACCCATTTTGACTAAAGTTGAAATTAAGGGAGTGATAATTTTGTGTTGACTTTCCAAAAATAACCTTGATGTGATGGGTATAGTAGGATGTGATGTGTAGATTATTAGGAAAAAGGTATGATGTGATAGGTAGGGCTTAAAAAAGTAAGGGATAAAAGTGGTTTTTTAATAGAAATGAGTAAGGAATTGTGGGACGTGGTTTTTTTGAAACGTGTAAATTTTTTTGAGACGAAGGGAGTAGTATTTAGAGAATAAAACAGTTTAAGTGTATGTTATTTAAGGAAATAACTCAAGATTTAGTACCATTTAATACAAATATTTCTATATATATTGATCGTATAAGAAATATGTATCTCCACCAAATTAAAGATGGGTGGACTTTACACACGTACCCTTACAAATACATATGGACTCAAAATGTCAGTCACAAATTAAACTTTTATTCCTCCGTAATTTTCGTTTCGTTTTTCTCATTCACAACGTCAGTTCAAGACTACTACTACTACTGCGGCCGGTTCCCATTTTTCTTGTCGGTGACGGTGGCGGCGATGCGGCGGCGGAGAAAGGGTACAGGGACAAGCGGGTGCCGTCATCGTACTCGCCCACCCTCTTTCTCTTCTCGCCGTCGTTATTGCCGCCCGTCGATGACGTCTTTAAGGACAGCTTCAGATCAAGGTTGACGTCGGAGTCCGCCGCCGGCTTCCTCTTCGCGCTGCCGGGTGGCGCCGCCGTCACTTCCTCCGAGATCCGGGGTTTGTTCATGGCCGTCGGGAAGCAAGGGAGCGGCGGGGGCGGCACTGTCGCGGTATTGTCGCCGGGGGTTTTGTGGCGGCGGCGGTGGTCGGGACAATGATATGGTGTTGGTGACGTCATCATGGGAAAGTCCGAAAGGCGGCCGTTCAAGTAGTAGTTTCTTCCAAGACCGTGACGGATCATTACGTTGGAGACGGCGGCGCCGTCGAGATAAGGGTTATTATTATTATTATTATTAAAAAGAGATGATGAAGTAGGGTGACGAAGCCACGGAGATTCATCAAACCTGAGAAGAAGAAAAAAAATTAACAATATTTAATACGGAACATCATTGCTGATTAAATGGGAGAAACAAACATTGGCTGCAAATTTTCTAATGAAATTTAGGATTAATTATGTGGGGAATTTACGTAAATAACGCAAAAACATAATGACTTTCTCTAAATAGCATTACATGTGTTTTTCTACAATCTAGCACTTTTAGTCATTATTCATTAGTCATTATTCAAGTAAATATTGGCTTTCACTGGATATTATGAACATTATGAAGTATTGAAGTACTATATATTTAGGGAATTGAACAATTTAAGTGCTATTTAGAGAAATGACTTAAGTTTTTGTGCTATTTAGTATAAATATTTCTTAATCATGTATCAGATCCCTTTATAATAATGAAAAATTATTTAAATAGCACTAAAACATAATGACTTTCCCCAAACAGCATTATACTCGTATGTTTTATTTTCCAATATAGCATTTTTAGTCATTATTTAAGTAAATGTTCACTATTACTGGACATTATTCCTTTTTCTAAACATTATTTATTGCTATTTATGAAATAAAAAAATTTAAGTTCTACATTAGGAAATCACTTATGTTTTAGTGCTATTTAGTGCAAATATTTCTATACTAATAAGTAGTTTTAGTTTTTTGTCCATCAAAAACATTTTTTATTAAGTTGTACTTGTGATTTTTCTTTTTACAAATTGTCATTTAATTATCAATTTTATATTTAGAGTTAATGTTGAATTTATTTTTATTCTCTAGAACATCTCGAATTTAATTTTTTGTCTACTCTCTTAAATATTTTATGTTCAAAGAGATTAACTTTTCATTCATGTAAACATTAACAGATTAATTCTAAGTTACTGGAAACAAAGACTAGATGTAAAAAAAAAATACTAGCATTTTACAAGGATGGTTTGATCAAAAAATATTTTAAGAGGATAAGACTAAAAGCAAAAGTTACTCATTTTTTACAGGCCAAAAGGCAAAAGCATATTTAATCATAAAGTTTATTTTTATGGTCACAAAAGACCATACAATCCCTCCATATCTTTGTATTTGAGGTGGTATCTTTAAAGAAATATTTGCACTAAATAGAACTAAAACTTAAGTCATTTCCCTAAATAGTACTTAAATTGTTTTATTCCTTAAATAGCACTTAATAATGTCTATAATATCCTGTAATGACAAATATTTACTTGAATAATGACTAAAAGTGTTACATACGGAGTATTTTTTTTTCTTTTTCAGCCACTCCCCTTTCTCTCTCTCCTTTCTTTTTCCTCTTTTTTCTTTTATTTTTTTTTCTTTCTTTTCTTTTTTTTACTCGTTATTTTTTTCGTTTTTTCTTTTGCTTTTTTTCTTTTGATCCTTTTTAATCTCTTTATTTATTTTTTTATTCATTTTCACCTTTTATCATTTCTTTTCATTTTATTTTAATTTTCTAATGGAAGAGATTTTGCAAAAGAGGGCCTTTATATCTTCGAGAATATGAAAACCCTCAACACTTTTTAAGAAATTCTAAATGTATACCTCCTATTTTATTAAACTTTAACTCTAAACAAATTCAATAAAGTGGACGCATATCCATGGATTTACTGAAGAGTAATTTACCTAAATAGGACTAAAACATAATGACTTTCCCAAAATAGGACCATATGTTTTTATTTCCCAATGTAGGACCTTTGATCATTATTAATTAGTCATTATTCAAGTAAATGTCCATCATTACTGGGCATTATTCCTTCCACGAAGACATTATTAAGTCCTATTTAGGGAATAAAAAAGTTTAAGTCTTAGATTAGGAAAGTCATTATGTTTTAGTCCTATTTAGTGCAAATTTTACATTACTGAATCTCAAATTTTCAAAAAGTACTTTATAAACATGAAAAAAAGGGGTCTAAATATTTAAATTAAGCTACAAGGGATTAGTTATAACAAACTCCCTATAGGACCAAAAAGTACATTTGAGCTGGAATTAAACAAAACAACTAAATTAAACTAACCCCTTTCTCGTGTCTGGCTAGTGTGCATGCATTAATTGATGTCATTCAATTCTTTCTTCTTTTACAAGTTTCTTTCTCTTTTTATTTTAATTTCTACGACAATACCAAATAAAATTTAAAAATGTGAATATGTTTTTTTATTTGAAGTTATCGGCTATGCTATATATGCGTTACAAAGAAAAAAATTATCTATTTAACCTTCAAAAAGATTAAGAAAAATGTAGAATAATAAAAAAAATACTGATTATACGATTAGAATTTGTGTACTACGGGGTAAATGAGAAGAAGAGTCTCATGAGTCACAAGTTCATTCTTCGCCTTGTTCGGGAATTGGAAACAACGTTCCAATTAGCATTATCATTTTGAGAAATTTTTGTAATAGTACAGTTTAATTTTAAAAATGTTAAAACTGAATGCTATCGTTAAATAACTTTTGCAAGTTGCTAAAAATAAACGGTAAAACCGTTTTCCAAAAAACCATAAAAAGGATACTTCAACATAAGGGTTAAATATGTTTTTTATCACTCTAAAATAGACGATTTTTATTTCTGGTCCTTGTAAAATATTCTTTTGTTAAGTCATCCTTATAAAAGTTTTTATTTTGAGAATAGTCTTTGAACATAATTTACACGTCTAGTTTAATTTGTTGAGATAACACATTTATTTCGTATTTGACATCTTAATTTTGCATTTTTTATTACTTGAGACACAATTTTCATGTCATAGGTTGTGTTCTTCATCAAATTACATCATTAATTTCCAAATTTTATTATGCTATATTCCGAAAATAAATTAGAAACTGGGGATATATATAATATTTCACCCATCCCAAAAACTTTTTTCCCTTTATTTTCTACTTGTCCCACAAAATTCTTTCCATTTCTATTAAAAAATCAATTCAAAAAAATATTTTACAGGGATAAAAAACAAAAAGCACATATTTTACATGGACCAAAAATAAATTGAACCTCAAGAATCAACATAAAGTGTGTTTTTTTTTTTTTTAAAAACATCTAAAAAAGTGAGTAAAGTTTTTTTTAGAACACGAGGTATTTCTTTATAAAATGACAGATTTTTTTTCTTTTTAAAAAATCGTACCTTAAACCGGCGGGATCAGGTGAAGAATGATAAAATGGTTGAAGCCTTTGGAGATTGGTGAAGTTAAACATGTGAGGGTCTCCATTTCCAAGAAGCAGCCTTCTGTTGTTTGCAGGTGTAACTGTTACACCAAATCAAAATTAATTCATTTTTTTTCTTTTTCATAATTTAATAAATTCAATATAATATTCCCTATATGGTTAGTAGAATTTCACAAACTTAATAATAATAATTTTAATAAGAACATGATCAGAAGAAGAAATTAATATCCATCAAAATTATTTTCAAAAAAAAAAAAAAAGAATTGAAGGAGAAAATGAAACCCTAACAAACTTTAGGGCTATTATTCCGCATAAATAATAAAATTTGCAAAACGTATTCTTTAATTAAAAATTAATAGAATTTGTGTGATTAAAGTTATAAAAAATAATGTTGACCCTAAAATCTTTATTTTAAAAAGATAAAAAAATTTAGTACCTTGGTATGGGTCATCTGCCTTCTTACTTCTATACATCTACAATTGGGAAGATGTTCATAAACAAGGAAATTAATTAATCACAATAATATATAATTAAGGCAAATATAAATCAATAAAAATACAATAATTATTATCGATGGGGTTTTTTAAAAAAAAATTAAAATATATACTTGGAGGTGGCTCTTGACATGAGCTATGCTAAGGCCTTTGATGTTCATCAACTGAAGAACAAGCTTTGGTGTGGCTCCTACAACAACAATAAATAAAAAAAACACACACCCAAAATCAAACCTTGAAATTGTTAATAAATACAAATAGCAAATAAATCATCAAATCAAAGAGGGTATTAAGAAAGATATGCATATGATGAGAGATAAATGGTGAAATTACTTTCTTGCCCTCCGAGGCGTTGCACGGCATGGACAAAGCAAAGGTGGAGGTCCGGAGTCCAGCGGAGCCTCGGGGTTTTGGATCGGACGTACTGCCTTACCGAGCCTGAGTTATTATTATTATTATTATTACTATTGGCTTTCGTCTTCTTCTTCTTCCCGTTATGGTTCTCTTCCACCGTACTGTCGTTACTGCTGCTGCTTCCGCCACCATTAACGTTGACCGCTTCTTCTCCTCTGCTTTGACCCAGCAGGGGCTCATCATCTTCTTCTTCTTGGGTTGTTGTTTGGTCATTCATCTCTTTCACAAGTCCCTTTTCTACTGTGTTTGGTGTCTTCATCATTTATAAATAAGCTCAGTTCAGTAATTAATTAGCTAGCTAGGGGTATATAAATATTATATAAATAATTAATAGTAATAACTTGTGGTATTTGATGAGTTTGTCTTGTGAAGAAATTCAGGAGGGATAGCTAAGTAGAGAGAGAGAGAGAAGAAGAAGAAGAAAGAAGGGGAGAGAGATATTAGATGAATTGAAGAAGCTTTCCCTTTGAATTTCTTCTTTGTTTCCCACTACTTAACTGGTCGCATATATTTGGAATGAAATTTAATTTGTTGAATGAGTTATGAGAGGGATGGATGATGCATTTAAAGAAAACCCTCCCCTCCCCTCCCCACCCCCACCTGCCCTACATGCATGCCCCCCTCATTTTCCCTAATCTATTTTAAGATATGAAATTCATTCTAAATAGTAAAAGTATGATGTGATGTATAGATTATTAGGAAAAAGACATAATGTGATAGGTAGTGTGTGAAAATGTAAGGGGTAAAAGTAGTTTTTTAATAGAAATGAGAATGATTTTAAGGGACGCAATTTTTTTGAAACGGGAATGACTTTATAGGGCAGAGGGAGTATATCATTTCTCAATATAGTACTTAAACTTTTTTACTCCCTCGGTCCCAAAAAGATTTACACGTTTCAAAAAAATTGTGTCCCACAATCCCTTACCCATTTTAATTAAAAAACCACTTTTACCTTTTACTTTTTGAAACCCTACCTATCACATCATACCTTTTTCCTAATAATCTACACATCACATCCTACTTTTACCCATCACATCAAGGGTATTTTTGGAAAGTCAATACAAAATTATCTCTCTCTTAATTTCAACTTTAGTCAAAATGGGTAACACTTTATGGGACGGAGGGAGTATTTGTTAAATAATACTCCCTCCGTCCCTGAAAACCTTTCTCCTTTCTTTTTTCATCCGTCCCAAAAAACACTTCTCATTTCTATTAAAAAGTCACTTTTACCCCTTACTTTTTCATACCCTACCTATCACATCATACATTTTTACTAATAATCTATCCATCAAATCATACTTTTACCCATCACATCAAAGGACATTTTTGGAAATTCAATACCAAAATATACACCCCTTAAATCTCTCTTCAAAATCAAAACTCCCATGTTTTACGGGACGGAGGGAGTACTTGAATAATGCTTAGTTTCGGAAACAATACATAGTGATAGTGGGTATTTAGTTTAAACAATGTCTAGTGACGGTAGATATTTACTTGAACAATGATAATTTGATAATGACTTGTGGTACTATATTGAGAAATAAAAACATATAGTATTAAATTGATAAAGTCACTATTTTTTAGTACTATTTAAGTAAATTTTTTTTTAAATCCATCTGTTTGTGTTTACTAGAGAGCCGTCCTTGAAAAACCAAGGACCCTAGCCGACACAGAGAAAATGGGCAAGTGTGTGATACGGAGTAATAAAGTAAAGCCTATCAATTGATTCTTTTTAAAAATGATTAAATTATAGAAATAAGAGTAATAAAGGGTCAAATTCATAATCTTAGTAATTTATAGTTACATACCTTAATATATTACTCTACTAATCGAGACTCTTTTATTGTTATAAATGAATTTATCTCGACCGAGAGTTTGTGATAGTTGGATTATATTTAGAGTTGTTTCTTTACTATAAATCACGATTGTTTACACACGCACGCATGCACGCGCGCACACACAAATATATGGGCCCCTCTACAGAAATAGGTCCTGGTGAGGTGGCCACCTTGCCCATTTATCTCCATCATTTACTCTTTATGAGTTGGTCAGACCTTGTAAAAAACGAAAAGAATGTTTTAGGACGGAAGGAGTAATAATCTACCATCATATCTTATTTTTATCTATTATATCAAGGGTATTTTTGAAAAGTCAACACAAAATTATTCCTTTCTTAAATTTTCTAAAATTCAAAACGAGAACATCTTTATGAGGCGGAAAAAATAGTTTTCAAGTTGAGTAATACTTTAGCTTAAATTATATGAAAAGTATACAAATTCATAACACTAATTAAGTTTCATTGAGTGATGTTTTAAATAGGCCGTATATAGCTTGAGAGTGGTTCCTTTAGTACTCCATATATGATCTGTGGAAATATATTTTTTTAATGGTACAAAAAAGAAAAATGAATAAAAATATTTAGGAGTACTATATGCATGACTCGCATGACATGCATATATGTGTGTGGCATACCATGCACCATGCATACATTTGAGAAGATTTAATGAAAAATAGAATGATGTCCCACACTCTAGAAATAGAAAGAAAAAGTTGTTAGTTTTTTTGAAAAAGAATAAATAAACAATACTCCGTACAAAACAAAAAACAAAAAAGGAAAGCTTCTTTTAATTTGGGTTTTTTAATTACTGCAGTATATTACTGGTTGGAATTTTTACTGCAGAAATGAGAATGCTATGAAATTCTATTAAAGCAGTAGCAGTAGTAGCTAGTAAAGAATTAATTAATATTCCAATATACAATTACTCCGTATTATTTTCACTTACCCGTTTGGTGTAACTTTTCAACACCTTTAAGTTTGTGTTCCAACCGAACATTAAATTAAACTAATAAATTGTACCCACTACATACCAATTACTCCGTAGTTAAAAAACGATTAAATCGAACAAAACACTTATATTTGTATATTAGACTAAAATATGAATTTTATTGTGTTTTGACATTTTACAGTCACATTGTGAGTTGTACTTAATTACAACTTGATATTATAGTGTGTTTTGACATTTTACAGTAATTTTTTGCATCATATTTTGGCATTATAAATGCTATTTAATCCTAGTTAGATATTTCCCCTAATTTTTAGGTAGTCATTTTTAGGGTCTCATTGGTAATTAAAGTAGATTATTGATATGAGAAATTTACGTAAATAGGACTAAAACATAATGACTTTCCCAATATAGGACCATATGTTTTTATTTCCCAATATAGGACCTTTGGTCATTATGAAGTAGTCATTATTCAAGCAAATGTCCATCATTACTGGACATTATTCCTTCCACTAGGTCATTATTAAGTCCTATTTAGGAAATAAAAAAGTTTAAGTCCGACATTAGGAAAGTCATTATGTTTTAGTCCTATTTAGTGCAAATTTCACTATTGATATTTAAAAAAAAAGGCCAGGTATTGAAATTTTCATTTCTAATTTTTTTAAATATAGTATTACACCATTTTCTTTTATTTTTTCAACTTTAATTTGTTAGATATTGATAGTAATTGTACCGTCTTTTATGTGAAATACTCCCTCCGTTTGGAAAAACCCTCCCCATTTGATTTGGGGGCAAAAATAAGGAAGTGTTAAATTATAGTTGATTTCCAATTTTGCCCCTGATGTGATGGGTAAAAGTAAGATGTGATGGATAGATTATTAGAGAAAAAGTATGATGTAATAGGTAGGGTATGAAAACGTAAGGGTAAAAGTGATTTTTTAATAGAAAGGGGAAGTGTTTTGTTGGAAGTAGAAAAAATGAAAGAGAAAGTGTTTTTGAGAACGGAGGGAGTACAAAATAAAAAATTGGTATACCCCATTTAGTTATGTAGATCAAGACATCAAGTTTAAACATAGAGTCTCATAAAGAGCTTAGATAACGATTAAAATCTTGCTAACTAAAAGAGTTTTAAATTTACATTGTCATCCCTGAACTCTTTAAAAAAATTCCATGAATTATTTTCTTTTGAACTTTAAAAATTACACCAATACGTCCTCAAGTTTTAAAAATGTTGCAGTAATGATCCCTTTGCGTCAGATTTGGGAGTGCCAGATTATAATTTTTAAATACATACTCCGTAATTTTTATTATAAAGTTTCACACTGATTTTCTAATAAAATGAATTAAAAATAACATCAATTAAATATAGAACAACGAAAAAATAATTTTAGGACGGGGAGAAAAATACTCCGTATGTGACATATACAGGAGACAATCTTTTCAGCCACTTTTTTTATACGTTAAGGTTTTGATTTGGAAGAATGGTTACGGTGTGTCCCTCTTTTGAAAACCGCCACCGGCCCTGCCTCAGGCGACCGTTTGCTACGTACGTATATGTGTCCCTCGTTCTACAACGTTCGCCCTTAGCTTTTTCAAAAGCCAAAATGATTTTTGACACTCTAATCTTAATTTGTTATTAGGGCCTCTTAGCTTTTTTAAGTCTTTATTTTTTGAAGGGCATATGTAGATGCCTTCCAACCATTTCAAAAGTATACGTATGTACGTAGGTTAACCAAAAGGACACATAAATTGACAGAGAATATAATTTGAATGTCACTAAATTATTTTTGTCAAAAAAAAAAAACTTCACCTAGCTGACTATTGTCTATTGATTCTTTACGGATCAGAGCCGATTAAAACCTAGGCCAGCTTAGAAACTATTAAGTCATTTCAAGTTTAGGTCCGAAGTGAAAAAATTGACGGATCCGAATCGATAGGTCCAGACCGAGTCCGAACTGAGTAGATATAGGGGCGGTTCCTATCCTCCATATTTTTTCCTCATCGTCCTATTTTCTCCTCAACACGCCTCCAGTTACGCCATTTTCGATCATGTTTAAATTCAAATTAGATTTTTGGTCTATTCGGTCCAAAAAGGTTTAGTACAAACTATTTCAAACCGATCTGGTCTGGATTAAAACTAAATACTAATAGGTCCGGTCTTCAGTCTCACTTATTTTCCAATTCAGTCTTTGGTTAGGTCCGAATCGGTCCAGTCTATATCAATTCTGTACCGATGAACAACACTAGCTAGTAGCTAGTAACTATCACTAAACCTAATTATTTTTATTTGTCAAAAATGAAAAATAAAATAATCTTAATTTTTGTGGGGGCCAGGAAGGAGCTATGTGTGTGTCTATATATATATATATATATATATATGATCGACTCCGATCAGATGACACATTATAGTAAGATGAAAATCATGAAATGCTTCGATCAGATGATATAAAGTTCACTACTGCCAACT